TGTCAGAACAGAACATGGAGAAACAGAATGGTTCCCAGTTGGCAATGGAGTCAGACAAGGCTGTATCCTTTCAACCTACTTGTTCAACCTATATGCAGAACATATTGTAAGGAAAACAGGCTTGGACACAGAAGAAGGAGGAGTGAAAATAGGAGGAAAGAATATCAACAATCTAAGATATGCTAATGACACCATAGTACTAACAGAAAGCCTCACAGACCTGGAACACCTACTAAGGAAGATCAAAGAAGAAAATGCTAAGGCAGGCTTCATGTTGAACATCAAGAAAATAAAAATAATAACCAACAAGGACTTTCACAAGTTCATCCTAGACAATGAAGAAATAGAAATAGTAAAATAATTCCTATACCTGTGATCAAACATTGATAGAAATGGGGACTGCAGTCAGGAAATTAGAAGAAGATTAAGAATGGGGAGGCAGGCCTTAAAGAACTAGAGAAGACTATAAAATTCAAAGATGTACAACTCAGCACAAAAGTTAGAATCATACAAGCCGTTGTATTCCCTATTACCATGTATGGATGTGAGAGCTGGATAGTTAAGAAAGATGACAGGAAGAAAATCAATGCATTTGAGATGTGGTGCTGGAGAAGAGTGCTGAGGATCCCGTGGACAGCCAAAAGGACAAACAAATGAGTCCTAGAGCAGATCAAGCCAGAAACCTCTCTGGAAGCCAAGATGACCAAACTGAGGCTGTTGTACTTTGGCCACATCATGAGAAGGGAGGGCTCACTGGGAAAGGCAATAATGCTGGGAAAGGTGGAGGGAAGTAGGAAGAGAGGGAGGCCACATGCCAGATGGATGGACTTTATTAAGGAGGTCATGGATATTAAGGGGTTGCAGGAATTAAGCAGTGCAATGGCGGACAGGAGGTCTTGGAGATGTCTCATCCATAGGGTTGTCATGAGTCAAGATCAACTTAAGGGCAGTTAACAACAACAAAGCTAGAATTCTTAGCTGAAAACTGTGAGTGCCTTACCAAACTATAGTTTCCAGGATTCCCTAGGATGCATCCAAGGGAGTTAAAGTGGAATCATAGTGCTTTAATTGTGTAGTATGAAAGGGCCCGTAGTTAATTTAGGGCCAATGCAGACCAGCTGTTTGGGGCGGCACAGAGCCACCCCAACAAGTGGTGGATCGGGGCTGCAGCAACCCCATGCCATGGCCCCAATCCTCCCTTTTGCCACCCCGAAAAGAGTGGCAAAATGCTGGCATGCGGCTGCTCCACCCCAACGCCACCCCCAGGCTGGCCCTTTGGGCCTGTCTGCAACGGCCCTTAGTCTGACTTACCATCCCACATATGAGGTTTTGTTTTTTTGATATTAGCTAATGTTAATGGTCATTCCCAATTTTACTGTCTAGTTCCTTGGATTGTCCCTCACCATTTGAATCAATTGTGCAGTCCTTTTGGTTTCTCCTGATCTCCTCATGGGGAGGATTATCCTTGTGCACCTTCCCTATTGGGAAGGGAAAGGCCTCCTCCAAGCCCTCTGAGAAGTGGATTTGAGCTGTCCATGGGCCAGAGTTTTCTCTTCTTCAGTTCATTCCTTTCATAAAACCCTGTGATTTAATGGCCCCAATTTGGCAGGCACCACATAAAATGACTGCACAAGATGTGAAGAAGTATTACTTGTTGGCTTGTCCTAAAGCTCAAAGTACTTATGAGAACAGAAATATGAAGCTGTTATATCTAAAGTGACCAAATACTTCTGCCAAGAACCTGGAACTGTTTTGTATTAGAGGAATGTTTAGTGATAGCCTAAAATCAAAGGTTTCTAGACTGGGGGGGCGGGGAGGCTGAATATAATGAGCCTGACATGTCTATTTACTTATTTAGTATTTCATGTTATATCGTTTGAGTAACCATCATTCTAAAAATGGATTCCAAATCAAAAGGTACATAAATACAATAAAATTTCTGTTAAGATACCTATTGATTGAATGTCCAAGCACTTAGCAATTTTAAAAGTCCTTGAGAAATCAAAAGATATTTGCTAGGCATGCATGCTGTAGTAAAGATGGTGCCAGGGACAGGTGCATGGAATTTATTTGGTACTGCAACCCCTTGATAGCCCTTGCTCTGGTAGCCACCTAGCCCATTTCCTCATGTGGGACATCTTTCACAGGCCACTTTCAGCTGATCTTAATACTCAAACAGATATATGCAACACAAGCTTCAAGAAATTCCTCATTGCCTAATGACAGGCAGATGTGTTTGTCCTGTGTTCGGTAGCAATTAACAAGCCATGTCTGAGAATATGCTTAAAGTATCCCAAACAGTGCTAGGAAAACCTCTATTGCAACCCTACTCCGAAGCTTTGCCAGATTAAACATCCTAAAATAAACAATAAACATAAAGATCCTATAAATATAAATATATACATTATATTTAAATAAAAATATAAATATATGAATATATGTATAAATACAAATATAAAGAAAGATCCTAAAATGCAAAGATTTACAACTGAGCACAAAAGTTAGAATCATACAAGCCATTGTATTCCCTGTTACCATTTATGGATGTGAGAGCTGGACAATTAAGAAAGAAGATAGGAAGACAATCAATTCATCTGAGATGTGGTTCTGGAGAAGAATGCTGCGGATCCTGTGGATAGCCAAAAAGACAAACAAGTGGTCCTATCAAGCCAGAAAGCTACCTGGAAACCAAGATATCAAAAAAGAGGCTGTCATACTTCGGATACATCATGAGAAGGCATGGCTCATTGGAAAAAACAATCATGCTAAGAAAGATGAAGAAGAGTAGAAAGAGAGGAAGGCTTATGCTAGATGGATGGAATCTATATACAAGGTCATGGGTATGAGTTTGCAGGAACTAAGCAGAACAGTGGAGGACAGGGAGACTTGGAGATGTCTCATCCACAGGGTCATCATAAGTCAAGATGTACTCAAGGGCAGTTAACAACAACAACAAACTCACCTATCAATTGAGAGGGGAAGGAAAATGAGATCTCTACATTGCATAGACAACCTCTATGTGGTGTAGCATATGTCTAAGCTATGACCAAAACATGCTGCACCTTCCCTTAAGAATCTTTCTCACTAAGGACATTATCACACTGGCCCTAAAGCAGAAAGAATCCTGCATCATT